CACTCAGGCCAGCTCTGCACTGCAGGAGGAAAAAGCTTTGAAGTGGATATAGGATTCAAATTTTTATTTAGATAGCTAGACTCTTCTTTTTAATCCTTGAAAGTGGGTTTTAATTACAGAAAGAAACTATTTGTATACTCCAAAGTAACCAAAACACGTGACTGGAAAAAAATAGCTATTCTCTACTGGTGCTTGTCCTAGTTCAGCTTGTTCAAAATGAGTTACACAACTAGAGTTTTGATCACATCGTATATATAATTTCGTATCCTGCTTTTCCACAAAGAAATTTCCCTTTTTGAAAATTGTGTTAGGGAATAATCAGAGATAAAGGCAAAGACTTAGTGCAAGGATGTTCACAGCAGCATCATGTTCTCTCCTTCCTTTCTTTTCTTACCCTTCTTCAGTTTCATGGTTTATTATTACAGTAAACTTTTTTTTTTGCCAATAGTTGAAACTGTCTTGCCTCTCTATTTTTTTCTTCAATGCTCTATACAGTAGTCCCCCTTTATCTGCATTTTCACTTCCACGATTTCAGTTACCCACAGTCAACTGTGGCCTGAGAACAGTACAGTAGAGTAAGATATTTTAAGAGAGGGAGCACATTCACATAATTTCTATTATAGTATATTGTTATACCTGTTCCATTTTATTATTAATCATTATTTTTAATCTGCTACTGTGCCTAATTTATAAATTAAGCTTTATTGCAGGTAGGCATGTATAGGAAAAAACATAGTATCTGTAGGGTTCAGTGCTATCCGTGGTTTCAGACATCCACTGGAGGTCTTGGAACATATCCCCTGTGGATAAGGTGGGACTATTGTATTGTAGAGAAAACCAGTTATCTACTTTTTTCATGCCTATGCCAGAGAATCATACCACTTCTGGAGAAATTCACAATAGTGCAGAAGCAGATTTATCTCTCTATAAGTTTGTAATCACCAAACTCCAATGGGCCTTCAACATTATCCAATAGTCCTACTGTATTTCTCTGGTCTGCTCTCTCTCCTCCTTGGAATGACTTTTTCAAAACTTCTTCCTTCTCCTCAAATTTCAAAGCTCCCTCAATTCCTTCAGTTATGCTTTGGGTATGACCACTTTCTGAAAAGGAGCCATACACAATGGATTCTCTCCTCTTTCCCTTGTATATTCAATTTCTCCATCGCCGCTGCTTCTTTCCATTGCTATTTCTACTCTTTTAAGCACATTCAAGCTCTTTCCCTTGTGGTAGGCTGCATAATGGTCTCTCAAAGATGTCCATGTTCTAATCCCTGGAAGCTGTAAATATATTAGCCTACGTGGCAAAAGGGATTTAGCAAACGTGACTGAATTAAGAATCTTAAAATGGGGATATTATCCTGAATAATCCAAGCGAACTCAATGTAATCACAGGGGTCATTGTTAGGAGGGAGACAGGAAAGTCAAAGTGAAAAGGAAAAGATGTGGTGATAGAAGCAAAGATCAGAGGAATGCAGCCATGGCCCAAGGCACGTGGTAGCTTCCAGAAGCTGGAAAAGGTAAGGAATGGATTCTCCCCCAGAGCGTCAGTAAGAAANGGGTAAGGGAGGAATTGGTAAAGGGCCACCAAAAACAATTACATCGTATAATGTCGAATATACTAATAATCCTGATTTGAGCACACAGGTATTGATATTCAACTTTGTACCCCACAGACATGTACAATCAATTACATTATGATAAGTAAATAAATAGATAAATAAACAAACCAGGAATACAAAGAGTAAGAAAGTTTAAAAGGCTCACTCGGAACACAGAGGAAAAATTGAGTACAAATCATGGAATATATAGTAGACACCGAGGACAGAAAGCAGAGACATAACATATGAATAGTTGGTGGTTTTGAAAAAGAAAATAGAATGAATGGAATAGGAAAAATACCCGGTGATAGAGAAGAAAACTTTGAGCTGAAGAAAGCTATAATTCTGCAGATAAAATGAACATTTGATGTACCAGGCAAAATTAATGAGGAGTAATCGTCACATAAACAAATCTCAGAAATTTCATGTACAATAAAAGACTCCCACAGCATTCTGGAAAAAAAAAATCAGATTACCTAAAAGGGGAAAATAACCACCCTACACCTTCTTCTTTTAGTTATTAAATGCCAGTCTGGAAATAAAAGATATTTTTGTACATGCAAAGGCTCTGTACAAATATCACCTATATATACTTTTTCTAATAAAAAGGATTTACAACATACCAAACAAGAGATAAATAGCAATAAATTCCTCACAAGTGTGGCAAGTCATGGTATGAAAAACTTCCAGCAAACACCAAAACTATGTAAACAAAGACTAAGTCTTTAAAATTGAGGTACATGTGTCTACTAAACAAAAAGATATCAAAGGTTATAGTTTTTGGAGAGGAATACATATAATGTAAAAACTAATAATTAACCAATACTAAATTGGGATAAAGATTTCAGATTAGACCATTAAAACCTAAAGTGGCTAAAAAGTTAAACTGATAATTTGCTCATTTTACTTGGAAGAGGCTCAATAGATAATCTGACTTTGTTTTTTATCACAGATAATTAGATAATGATAGGCTTGTGTATATTTTAAAACTTGTATTAAAAAGATCGTATATTCCTTCCACTTATAATTGCAGCGATAGTCCCAAAGCTGAAGAGTATGCAGGTTAAGTAATTCCATATTCTGAAGAGAGCCCCTAGGGATGGATAAGTCGCCAGGAGGCTTACACGCAAGTGGCTTAACTGGTTCTGCACTCTCAGCACTCACTGCCAGGCCACATTAGCAGGAAGGTTTTGTGGAAAAAGGAGAATTCACTTGGGTCAGCATTGGGACATTTGGGGAGGGTATGGGGAGGGTGACTGCCTCAAATCAAGTGGGCTGGGCTCCAGACACCATTCATAGAACATTGGGAGGGGTGGGGGTGTCTGCATACAGGACAGACTGGCATCCCATTCCCAGGCTGGATGTTGCTGGACAGTAGAAACCATAAATTTACCCTAACATGGGGAGTTCTGGGTGAGACTGACATCCAACCCTTGGAGTTTAGGGCTTATATGAATGTAGACAGGTACCTGCTTCTCTCCTGGTGAATGTTGAAGGCAGGAGGCTTGTTCAGGCAATATGGGCAGACTGGGAGGAGGGACGCTGTGACCATGGTCTGGTCTGCATTCCATTCTTTGGCATGATGAAGACAGGTAGGCCAAGGGGGAAGATAGAAGTACTTGAGTTGTTTTGCCTGTACCCTGTTCTGGAGGTTTTAAGAGGTTATGGGATGTATCACAGCGCCTGGAGCAGAGGGGGTGGGCAGAAGTGGTTCTGCCAGGACCTGCATCTCTGTGTCAGGGAGCTGCACAGGGTGGAATAGGTGTCCCTGCAAGGCCTCCTGTAGAATTTGTATATGGACTGAATGAGAGCCAAATGTTTGGATGCTTGCTTCTCAGAATGCATCAGCAATACAGAGAGGACAACACAGCATTAACTAAATGGAAGACTGAAACTTTCCTCAAAAATACTCCTTTCTCAGTTGTGTTAGTTCCTTATTGATGTCGTAAGAAATTCCTACAAATTTAGCAGCTTAAAACAATGCAAATTTATTATCTTACAGTTCTATAGATCAGAGATACTGATGGGTCTTACAGGGTTAAAATCAAAGTGTTAGCAGGGCTGAGTTTCCTTTGTAACTCAGTTTTAGTGTAGTATGTGACATACTCAACCTACCCCTTTGGCATAAAATGTTCTCTTTCCTTTAGCTTCATGAGAACAACCTCCTCCAGTCTTTTGCTCCCTTTATGTCTGATCACAATTTCATCTGCCCATTTCTTTAGTGCTGATCTTTCTCACGGTTTAATCTCTGTCACTCTCCTTAATCTGCACACCCACCTTGGCCAATCTCATCCAGTCCAGTGCCATCAGATGTAGTCTATATGATGACAATCTACAGATCTGTGCCTGTAACACCATCTTACTATTGAACCTCCTCTATGTGGCTCTGTTTGAATGGGTCCCATTTTAGTACATGTCTTTCCAAGGTGACCACATGGTTCAGTTTGAATGGAATGGGGGACTTTTCTCTCATTCAATGTCCGTGTTTATGAACATGAGACAGAGAATATATGTCCCACAGATTCTCAGGCAGTTGTTTGTTCTTCTTTGATCATGTGCAGTACATGGAAGCCTATAAGCCAGAGTATGCATGTCCTGCCTTTCTGTATCCACTCCTATTATGCGTGCAGAGCTTTTCTAAATGACCACACACTGTGGGATGCAGTGTATTACAGCAAATTCTCTCAGCTATACTGTGTTGTATAAGTTGAAATATTCAAGTAGCATGTCAAAAAGCAAATTACTGGGCTGGGGATTTGGGGCCCAGCCAATGGATATAATTCAGGCTGCATGAGTTGTGCATGAGGAGTGAATGCACAGAGGAGGTCCCGACTGGAAGAAACACACAATCCCGAACAATCAGCACTAGGTTATCTTGCAACAGGGAATGACAGCCTAGTTTATAAGTCAGTACAGCTTTTGAGATCCTGACTAACATTAGGTAGTGGAAATGAAGAAGGGTTTGCTGCTTCCTCCTTGATGCTGGCCGGGCTATTTTCTTCAGGTTAGCCAATAAGCAATCATTTTGGGCTCACATTTTAAAAGATATGTTCAAAAATAGAAATTAGGATTGATGCCACATCTTTTTTTCTTTTCTTTTCTTAAAAGACCTTCAGAAGCTAGTAAAGGGCAGAGAATTCTTAGTCAAGTAATGTTAATGGATACAACAATACAACAAATCCATGGAATGGAAAGTTTCCATTTTAGAGATTTTTATCTGAGATTTCTAGTAAAAAAACTCAAGGCTGATCATTCTTCTAGTAGTTGTGGCATTGACATTTACAAATAGAGCACATATAGAGAATTATCATTAGAGTGTCAGTAAATCTTCAATATCACACCTACTTGCCATATATTTAGAACCTATTTGAGAGAGGAGAGAAATATTTGCACAGACCTTACCTTTTCACCAGAGTTGTCTTTAGCTGTTGGGATTTGCCAGGTAATATTAGCAGAGTCTTGCTGTTCCTGAGTCTTCGCCTCTATGTCTTTGGGACAGGTGATTTGAGGAGGCTCTACATCTGACTCAGAAAATACATAAATCAATTAATACACTGATATGTAATTCTAACTCATTTAAAAAAAGAGGTAAAAATCTAGTTATGACCCACTTTTTACATCCCAACTACTGATTGGTTTAGAATATGCAACTGACTTCCCGATAATTTATCTTAGCATGGCTTATGAGGCCCTGCCTGAAATGGTACCCGCTGACCTCTTAGCCCCATTTCTTACAGTTCTCCTCCTGGAACTCACTCTCCACATTGAATTTCTGTCAGACCCATGAAACCTCCATGGTCTTTCTTTTATCTGGGCATTTGTCCATGTTCTTTTTTTATTTTTTCCAATTTTATTTAATTTATTATTGCGGGGTGCAGTGCGTTGTTTCAACACATGCATAATCAATACGTGCAATGATTCACTGAGGGCAGATAGCAAAGTTTTGTACCTGTTAGTCCACCACTTCTCTTACCACTGCCCAAGTTGTTTTGTTTACCTGAATTAATGTCCTTTCCCCCCTTTCTCTGGCTTTCCCCATCCATGCAAGGTGCTTGCTCCACAAGTTCCCACGGCCCTGTGAACTTCCCAACCATAAAACTCAACACACCATTTTAAAGTTGAATTTTCTCTTCCAATAGAATTTAAGTTCTTTAAAGGTCAGGATATCTCTTGTCCTATTGTCTTATATAGTGACTGGTATAGAATAGGAGCTTGATAATTTTTTTTGATTGAAATAAAGAAATTAACAGAAAAAAATGAATGTTGACTGGGACAGAAAGGAAATATACTTGAACATGAGGCTGTCAAGTAGAATTAACTGGTACTGAAATGAACTGTCAAAATAAACAACACATTAAAGTCAATGATATCTTTTTCCAAGTGACACTTTACAGAAATTGAATTAAATGTGATAACATTACACAGATCCACATCGTTCATAGTAGAGCAAAGCTAATTACATGATATAATACATTCTTTATTTTAAGTTGTTAAATTAGGTGTTCCATAACTTGCAGCTAAATTGATTTCACTGTGTCTCACATCTTCTTGTTTCTTTAAAATTGTATTCAATTTACATGTTCTTTTTCTCAGAGCGGTTTATATTTAAGCAGTGTTCCCCCACAAAGATGTATAGTAGCCTATTGACTCTAAAAGTCTAAAAAAAAAGTATTTTATTTTTCATTTATACTTAGATAATAGCTTGACTGGCTTTGTAATTTAAAGTTTATATTTATTTTCTCTGGACACTGCTACCTTTCTTTGTGATATTTAGAGCTGTAAATGAGTAGTGTGATGTGAACCAGAATCTTGTTTTTTTGGTGCAATTTCTCTTTCTCTATGGAAATTTATTAAAGATTTTCTCATTTACTTTGCACTTCAGAAATTTCACAAAGAGTCATGAAAGTATGAAAGAAGAAATTTCACAAAGAATCATGAAAGTATCTTTCACAAAGAGTCATTAAAGTATTCCTACCCAACACTCAGGGGCTATTCTCCGTCTAAAGGTTCAAGCCTTTCTGTAGCTCAGTGAAATTTTCTTCTACTGGTAGGAAAATTCTTCTCCCTCATCCCTTTTCCTCTCTCCTTCTGGAACTTCCTATTAAACCTACATTAGGGTTTCTTGATCTCTCATTGTTATACCTTAACTTTCATCTTTTTGGTTTGATCAATTGGGATATTAAAGTTCATGTTTATTATTAGCTCTCCATTCTGAAGGAACTCTGTTGTTTCCTTCAAATCACTAATAGGGTTTTCAACAACATCCATTCTATTTTTTTTTTTTTTTTGCCCTTCTCTTAGAACTATTTATGATACTTTTACTTCTAAGATTATTATTAGCTCTCCATTCTGAAGGAACTCTGTTGTTTCCTTCAAATCACTAATAGGGTTTTTAACAACATCCATTCTATTTTTTTTTTTTGCCCTTCTCTTAGAACTATTTATGATACTTTTACTTCTAAGATCTCTTGCTTGTTTTCAATACCTCCGTTTTCATAGCAGACTGCTCTGGCTGCGGGGAAAATGGGAATGTCCTCTTGTGACTGTAATGGAATGCAGGTTCCAAAGTGCATTTTGAAATTCCTCAGAGATTTTCATCTTCTGATGCAAAATTTACCTGATTTCCAGATCTAATATTATCCTTATTTTTCTATTTCTCCTGTCATTGACTGGCATTTTGTAAATGGATTTTATAAATCCACTATTTTGAATCAGAATTCCTCATAGCACATATGGGAGCAAAACCTAACATTTTGTCATGGACTTGCTGTAAAAGTTGCAAAGAGGGATAGTCCTACACTGCACCATATGTCATTATTTAGGAATTTGGTTTCCAACATGACCAATGTAGCAACCTACCTTTACACATGGCTGTCTGAACTTTGGCACTCCATTTTCCAGAAGTGGTACATCTCACTTCTTCTCTGACTCCAGATAAAATGAATCCTTGGTGGCAACTTAGCTGACAAATTGTCCCAGGTTTGGCTGGCTGCTTGCCACAGTTTGGGGGGGATAGGATGACACCCTTGGGCTTCTGAAAGGTGGAGCAATGGCGCTCTGTTATAGGGAAATGAGAGAATGTTATTTGCTTTTCCACAAATTGGAAACACCACAGATTTTCTTTACCCAAGAAAAATACAATTGTGTTGCCTTGGGATTGACATAAATTGCTAAATAATAACTATATGACACCGAATGTATGATGTATTGTAAATAATGCTAAACTATACCTCTTTAGTGACATCTTGTTATTTTGCCACTGTATTAAAACTTTGAAAACCTTCTAACTAATATTTTAACTAAAGCTGATTGTGACTTTTATCATTGGCTTGAAGCACCTTCATTTGGTTTGCAGAATATAATATAGATTTGAAGTATAAAGTAGTAAATTTGTTTCCATCTTTCATGGATTAAGTGATACATTCAGCTATCAGTCCTTATTTTTTGAGATTTTTGGTGCTATCTTAAAGCAAGCACATAATGATGAAACTTTTATACTCTCCCTAAAATCACCGTGTTATAATTAGGGCCTTGAGTCTTAGTATTATCTTCTGCATAGACAAAGAATAGCAGAAAAATTAGGCAGAAAACAGAATGAAAAATCAAGGCTAAGACTTAGTGCAGGGTGTGTGTGTGCATGTGTGTGTATGCACTCATATGCACATTTGTCTGCGGTAGTAGAGATTCTACTGGCAGTATTGCTCACATCTTTAGTCTATACTTCCCATATAATAACACCTAACATTTATTCAGCAGCTACTGTGTTCCAGGCATTATTCTCAGTGATTAACTCACTTAATTCTGTGCAGTAAGGAGTATTGTTATTACTCCCATTTACAAATAAGAGAATTGAGAATACTAGTAACTTTCCCGAGGTCATCCAGCAGGTAAGTGGCAGAACCTGTGGCTTCTAAACACTCTATGATCTTGCTTCCTCCCTGAAATAATTTCTTTGAAAACTCTGAGCCGACAAAAGCCATTTTTTTCTGAGAAATTGGTTTGACACTTTATTTTTGCACAATGTGAGCCACATGCATGCCCAGACTTCCTGTTCTGCTTTGATCAACAAGAAAATCACAGCCAAATTTGTGATTCAAATATGACTCTGTAGGACTCAATATTTTTTATTTAGGGCTGGCCTTGTATAAAATAAGAAAATTACTCTTTTGGCTGTCAAACTTGTTGAAGATTTTATTCCCTTTTTTATTGCTTATTTATGGTACTTTGGGAAAACATGTCTTTAATTTTTATACAGTCTAATCTACTGATGTTTTTCTTCTTAAAGTATTATATTGCTTTTATGCTTACTAAGTCCTGAGATTGGTTAGCGTTCACTTATATATATTAACTATATTTTCTTTTAGGTTTTAATGGTTTTATTTTTTACTTTTTATTTGAAAACCTATGAAGAATTTATTTCAGTGTGTGGAGTGAATTAAAGACATATGAAAATTTTATTTTGTTTGTTTTGTTTTTTTCCAAGGACCTGGTCAATTTTCCTGTGGGAGTAGCTGAATAATTTTTTTTTTTTTTTTGTCAACTGTCCTGTGATGCTTCCTTAATAATACATGAAACTTGTAAGTTTCAAGATCTATTCAGTCCCCTTGATCTCTACGGCAATCCTTGCATACTCAATTTTTGCAGCTTTAGTATATATTTTAAAACCTGGTAGAACTACTTTCTTTTCACTATTCCTATAACTCTTCTTTTTAAAACTTACTTTGGTGATTTTTCACTGAATATTCTTCTGGACAAACCGTGAATTCACTTCCTAATTCCAAAAAGGGGACAAAAAAGAAAATGCTTTCTAGGCTATTGAATGAGGTTGCATGTCACCTATTCATATATTTGGAGAGAACTTAACATTATGATAACATTTTATATAAATATTAAAATGCTCTTTTTGTCTCTCAGTAACATTTTCTAGTTTGTTTAATACAGGTTCCACACATTTCTGTTTAAAGTTATTCTGATACATTATACATTTTCTATGGATCTTTTGAATGTGATTTTTCACCTTATTCTGTTTATCATTGTACATAGAAAAGTTGTTTATTTGATATTCCTGATGAGTTTAATGAACTCTCATTTTTTTAGTAAATTCATCCTATTTTTTAGGTAGACATGTAATGTACAAATTATGATGGTTTTGAATTCTAATAGCTCTAATCTCATTATTCATTACAAAAGCTAAAGCTTAGAGAACAAAATCAAACAATATGGATGACTCTGAGCTTTCTTTACTTTTTTTCAGTTTTAATAAGACTGTCTATATTGTTTCTCCATAAGTGACTACAAGTTTAACATTTTGTATGATGTCAGAGTTATCAATATGTTTCCTAAAATTTTATTGAAAAGATGTTTTAAATGATAATGAATGTATTTTTATCTTCTACTAAGCAACCGTACAATTTTTTAGTACTTGTTATATTAAAGCAATTTATTATATTGATGTATTGCTTAATTTTAAACTCTTCTTGCATTTCTATGATAAACTTTACTTGTCTGAGTAGACCATTCTTTTGAATGTGGATTGCTAGTATATTTGCTATCATGGTTATACAAAAAGGTTGGTATGTAGTTTTTATCTTTTTTTGATAATAGTTGTCAGGTTGACAACAAAGTAATAATTGTTTGATAATCTAAACTGGATAGCTTTCCATTAGTTGGGCCACATTATATGGTAGGAGACTTACTGTTTTTTAAAAGTTTAAAGGAATTTCTTTTTATTGATCCCTCTGTCATTTTTGGAGGAATAATTAATACTGTGATAGCATTTTCAATTTCTTTATGAGTAATTGTACATTTGAATTTCTACTCTTTTTCTTGAATCATTTAGGAACTTACATTTTCTTATAAATAATAGGTAATATCAAGAGTTTTCAATTTATGTGAGCAGATTTATGCATTGTTTTATTATTCTTTTAAAAACCTCTGACCTCTATACTTTGTAATAGCTTCTCAGAAAAATTCTATTTTTGCATTTTTCTCATATTTTAAATTTTATTTTATTATTTTATTTAAAGATTTCCCTCTTAACCGTTTTACTGCATCCCATTTCTCTTTTAAGTTTACTTTTCTTTACTGCCCATTAATGTTATGTCTTTCTTTTAATTTTCCTTGTGATTGTTCTTTTCCTAACTTTTCAGCTAAATGTTTAGTTATTTTTATTTGTTCCTATTTAATAATAAAAGAATTTTTAAGATTAACTGGTTCATAATTTTGTCCTTTCATCAACAAGGTAAAGGTAAATCATATTTACTAAAGCAAGGGAATTATGCAGCATTTGCTTTTATAAAAAAAAACCCAACCAAATTAGCCCCAACTAAAAAAAAAAAAATTGCCATTTGAAGCTGTAAACATCAGTGAGTTGGAAAGTTGAATTCAGTGTAGAAGTCTTTTTCAGTGGAGAGGAATAAAAATACATGTGTTTATGTTTGCATAAAACCATGCATCTGTATACATAGATGTGTATTTATATTCATTATGAGCCAGTGTTTGTTTCTAGGTGTTCACAGAATACTGAAGAAATCAGAGAGCAGAGGAGGTGAATGCCTTCCAGGAACTTACCCACACACCGGGGTTCTGGACCATCCCACTGGCTGTTTCCTTGACAGGTAAGCTTAGCGCTTCCTTCTAGTCTGTACCCTTCTTCACAGGTAGCCAAACACGTTGTCTTGTAGGACATTTCCCCCGTAGAACAGCGGATTCGTCCGTGCTTGGGCTGGCGGAGATGGGGGCATGTTCTCACTATATAAAATGAAAACCATTAGATCACATTTTACTAAATAAGGACAAAAATAATAATTCTAAGTTTGAGAATGCCCACACATGACAAGCAAGAAAATTTCCTTTCTTTAAAATGGCAAAGAATAAATAACACACCACCATTTTTTGAGTTATTACAGAACAATTAAAAACCTATGTTTTAACAAACGCATTGTCCAAACAATATCACTATGTGCAGCCCACTGCCCACAGGTGGGAAACTTGAACTGCCTAGGGGGTCTGGCCCTAAACAGAGGATGATAGCTATAGACTGAGGGTAGTGGACAAGGGGAGGTACCTGCAGACCACAGCTGGGCCTTTGCTGTGATTTTCCAGGCTACATTCCAACAATAGGAAGGGGTCTTTTCCAGGACAGAAATTTCAAGTTCATGGTCAACTCGGTTCTCAGATCTCATAGGCATCTCTTGGGCCTTTTAATGATCCCAGCTTCTGCAAATCTGCTCAACTCCTGCAGTCTTAAATTCTAGTATTCAACTCGCTGGGTACAACTCTGGTCCTTCTAGCTTTTTCATTCCTTTCTTCCCACGCACCTACTGCAAATCCTAGTTCATGATGCTAATCTTGACTTATGCATTAACATCAGTTTGTTTTTGCTGCTGTGGCAGAGAATGCAAGTGGCCTGCTCCACAGCCATTCTTCCCAGTTTGATTCAGCATAGTAATATGCCCAGCTAGAAAATTACGACTCTCCACCTCCATCACAACTAATGAGAGGCAATGAGATACAGCTGGAATTGTGTGAGACTTCTGGGAAAGCTCTTTAGAGGGGACTGTCTCAATTGAGAGATTACTTCTGTGCCGTCCCCTCTCCCTCCTTCTTTCTCTTGCAGTACAGGTATGAGGGATTGTACCCCAGCATACTACTGTATATTCATAGACTAATATAGGAAAGATTCATGCACTGAGATAGTAGAGCCTGGGTCTTGGATGACAATGGAGCTATCACACCAGCTTTGTATTACCTACTTTGTCCCTTTAGATAAATAAATCCTCAATTGGCTTAAACATTGTTATTCGAGTCTTTGGTATTCGTAGCTGTACACAATTCTTAGTTCCCTCTGCCCAGCATCCACTCACTTTTCCTTTGTCAATTGTCTAGGGAAAGATCTTTCCCCTCTCTCAGACCATGGGATCTGTGTGCACTCCAACCATGGTCAGGGGTAGAGTATGTGGCCCAGGACCACATTCTCTTGGTCTGAGAAGTGAGCAGGTACAACTGGTGACAAGGTTTTTTTTCTCTATTCTCTTTGAACCAACCATGAGAGAGCAACCAGAAGGGTATTCACTAGCCATTGATGCTGGAAATGCCCCTGTGCCCGAGCTAGCCTCAGTACCACCATCAATAGAAGTGTTGTGGGGTGTCCAGAGAAACCTGCATTTCCCCAGTTCTACCACCTCTGATGCTCCAGCCTCAACACTACATCGGAGAAGCCACAGGCAGGCACCTGGACTGCTCCTGCCTCTGCAGGTTCCCAGACGATGTCTGTGCTCAGAGTTCTCCTGGCAAGATTCCTTCACCGCTCAGCCCACCCAAACCCCAAAATGTGTCTTAGAGCCCATTTCAATTAATTTCATTCTGCCCTATATTCCTGTTCATGACAATCTCTTAGGAAGCTAAAGGCTCCAAGGTCATCCCTCATCTACCAGAGTTATCCCCACACAGCTGTGACCCAAATCTAACCCCACAGACCCTTGCACCTGCCCCCCTGGAATACATACCCAGCCTTCAGTAAATCCCCTCATATTCTAAATGTCCCTTTTGGACTTTTCCTCCACTTTCTTATCCTAATCAAAACATACTGTCTCCTATAGATGGGGCCTGGAGATCAGAGAGGTGTCTTGGTTGTTCCTTATTGTCTCCCAGATCATTCTCTCTCCTCCTTTCCTACAAACCTCCAGTTCCTTTGAAATATAATATCATATATACAACACCCTTTTTTCAATTCTCTCTCTCTCTCACACACACACACACAACTTAGTGATTTCATTATCTATGTAGATGATCATTCCAGTATCCTGGAGTCAGATTTTTGACCTCCTCTTCTTCCATGACCATTTCTTTTGCCCTGCCTCAGTCTCCCTACTGCTCCTTGCCATATCTTCTAGACCTTGCAGCCACCAATGCAAGTATTATACTCTCTGACAATCACCTCTTATCTTCCTGGATCACTCCTTCAAGTGCTTCAGCTCCATCAATTTCTATACCCTAGTGGAGCCACTGATCTATTGTGTGCTCCTCTTTAGAGAAGATCATCTCTAAAGAGCTTATGCTTTTTTTTCACCTCTTATCTTCCTGGATCACTCCTTCAAGTGCTTCAGCTCCATCAATTTCTATACCCTCGTGGAGCCACTGATCTATTGTGTGCTCCTCTTTAGAGAAGATCATCTCTAAAGAGCTTATGCTTTTTTCCCTACATTTCTTTTCCTCTAGTTCTAGCTTAGACTCCAATTCAGGGGATCCAATCAGCAGAAGAAGGGAGGAGAGAAAAGAAGAAAGGAAAATGGGAGAATATGGGAGGGGAGAAGAAAGGGAAGAGAAAGGAAGGGGAAAGGTAGGTAGAGAGGAAGAGGGGGGCAGGGGACAAGAGGAAGGATACTGGGGGGAAGAGTGCAGGGAGAGGAGGGGAAGTCAAGGAGCAGGGGAGGAGGGAAGGTAGGGGGAGGGGAAAGAGTAGAAGAGGGGGAAGGAAGATGGGGAGGCTGTCCAGACCAATGGAAAATACACCCTTTCAGTCAGATGGCAGGTACATTCCTATCGTGAACAGAGATATGGAGAGAAAAAGAGAGTGGATGCCTGCTGAATATGCCAAATGATGGGCATACATATCCATTTTGCTAGGTTAGAGGTGTAATCCTACAAGCATTAAGCATTGCACAAAAAACACAAACAACCCCTGAAAAAGGGCAAAGTTCAGTTTCCTCTCAGAATGCACTTCTGCAACACTAAAGGCCACAAGACAATATAGCAACCTCTAAAGAATTTTGAACAAAATATTTAGGATTCAGGTATTTTGTTGAGACTCTGGGGGAGATATAGTTTTCTTTCTTCTACTTTTCCGCATTTTCCATTTTTTCATACCAGGTATATATTTATTTATGATAAAAATACAACTTTAAAATAACAGGAAAGGAAGCCGAGGCAAGATTTCAAGTGCATATTCAACTGAGGTTGCTGACAGAATCTATTCTGCAGGAACCTATTTGAATGATATTAGTTGGCAGAGCATAAATATTGAGTGCATTAAATATGTTTAGGATTGCTTACTCCACCGAGAAAATTCAAGAATTAGGTTAGAAGTTAAACTGTAAGCTCTAGCTTCTACCATTGCTGGTGTGGTTTGGGCTGAAGTCAAGTACTAATGAAAAATGAATAAAAGAAATATTCTGTCTTTCATATTTTGATCTTTATTGAGTGCATCCATCACTTAAATAGCATCTTCACTGAGTGTGTCTACCAAGAGCATAGAAATATTTTGCCTTCTGCATTTTGAATTTTATTGAATGTGTCCATCATGTGTAGCACAATGCCAAGAGCCAGATGGGATTAAAAGGCAAATATGATAAATTCCTATGATGAATTTGTATAAAATATGGAAAACAATATTAAACAACTGTTTTTGGCTTTAATAAACTGCTGAAATTATGCCAGCTTTCCCAACCCAAGGTGAAATTGATTTGCAACATCTCTCAAGAGTACTGATGATAAATTAGAGTTGGTGCCTCACACAGATGCAAATTATATTGCTTCACAAATGTTGGTTTTAATAAACTTTCATTGTTCCTCAGGGAAAATAAACTATATGCAATAATTCCTATGTAGTCCTTAAACATTTTGCACTCTTTTTCACTCAAGAATGAACATTTATTACCATTTTAAATAGGAACACACTTTTTTTATTAGTTTCAACTTAAAAAAATTTTTTTCATACTAACAAGCTGAAAAATCTTGCTAGTAATGTTTCTTCACTGACATTCATATTAGAGCAATCCATAAATATTTATTTAGTCTGTTTTAAAAAACAGCTACTTTTTTCTAAGAGAACAATTTACTTTGTAGTAGACAATGTAAGAACCTACTCTGGCTCCCATCTTAAAGACTAATCAGATTTTCTTCCCAGACATGTTTCCTGTCAACCAAATTCTGTCAAATTTTGATAGCATCTATTACTGAAAATTAAATAAATCTGACATTCAATGTAGGGTTCTCATTGTTTGAATCTTTCTTCATATTTTTCTAGTTATCATCGAGAAACCACAAAAGAACCCTTCTTTGGAAGAAAACGCATAATTCAGATGAAATTGAAAATGAATATACGTACTTTATGAAGGGTGCCTATGAGAAATAAGAATAAAATTTACCAATTATTATTCAACATTACAAAAACATTAACAATGTAACACAAAATTTGTAAAAGGCTTTCAATTTTATACTGGTCTTTCATTTCTGCCTCAATCTTAGAAAGATTTTTAAGAAAAAATAACATAATTAAATTATTCACTGTCCTTATAATTAGATTTGTAAAAAAAATCACTTCCTCCATATTACCACCCTGAAACAGAAATTAATCCCTACCAATTGCCACATTTCATTGAATGCCACGTATCCTAATTGTAAGACACATTGTTTTACGTGCCACTAATAAAGAAGCAAAAGTACCAATGAAAGGATTTACTGATTTTAAGGTGCATTTCAATTTTAGAAGTGTTAAAATGTGGGGGGGAAATGTGCTTTAGATTTAGTGAAATATTAGGGAAGGGCCTGAGTCAGTATCTTGACTCAGGACAACTCTGTACACTGGTAAGTTAGGTAGTGGCTTTGGTGGTGAAGTTGAAGGGATCTCAGGAAGATCCACGGTCCTGTAGCAACTCTCCCACTCTGACTAAAATTATTTAATTTATATCAGAATAGCAACTGAAAGTACATATGTGTAAAAGAAAACAAGCACGTTTTTTAATGGGAAGTGACAGAAGCAGGCTATCCATGTCCGCATTTATCAATATGTGTATTTGTTAAATTCAAGTTTTCATTTATTCACCAGAGGTTTAATCAAGGATTGAGGGGAAAAAGATACAGTCTGAGCTCATAGTGATTTCACAGTGTTGCAGAGGTGATAGATATGTTCATTGACAATAAACGTAAGTATGGTGGTTTGAATTATAGTAAGTTGGTTAAACTGGGAAATACGTTGGTCAGAACCCTCTTATTGTGCTCTCAAGTTAGAGGAGGTCAGAAGAGGAACCAGATCTAGATTTTGGAAGGCAGACGTGAAGCAGTGGTCACTGCAGTCAGATTCAGTGATGGGCAAATACAGGGATGCCCAGTGCAGTCCAGCTTGTCTCTGTTTGCCTCCATTCCATGTCCCGACTGCTGATCCTGTTGACGAATGGTGGCCCCATGTTCACCGCCACTTTCTTGGCTGCAGAGCCACAGGAGCGTGGCTACACAGAGGCAAAGCTTCTCTTAGAACTCCTGACACATTTCTCCTTTGCGGTTCCACCTCAACAGCTGGTGGGGCTTGGTTTCTCAGGTTGAGCTGTCAGGAACTCTGATCCTTCAACTTCTCTTCTGGAACTTCAGTATCCATGCTCCTTCTAAAATTGTGTAAGGTCCTATTCCTGAAATAAATCCCTTATCCCATGACATGCATGGTGACTGTGCTTCCCTGGCTGACTCTGGAACACACAGCATAAGGGCTAGCATGGGGGAAGGACAGGTCTGCAGACACACATGCAGAGGTCACCCCATTCAGGCTGAGGAGGCTGACAACTGCGAGGGTGTATGAGGACCAAGAGAAAAGGCAGGGCAATCGGACAACGGAGGCTGTGGCAACAGCTCGCCAAGGGATGGCTTCCAGAGAGGGCATGGCCATTTCTTGGGGCTTCAGTGTAGGATGCAAGGCTTGGGGATAGATGCTGGAGGCTAGAGAGGGAGGCGCTGGATCTTTCCCTAAATGGGTAGTTGACCTGCTTTTCTCATGCTTTGGAAGGCCCCTGAGTGGAAAGTTAAAACGTAATATTTCCCACCCTCTCCCGTGAGGTATTTGGAAAAGGGGTAGAGACTTTACAAAGAACTTATAGCTCTGACTTTACAGGCATATACTTTAGAAGTATTCTATGATTAATTTTGCAGACAGAGTATGTGGGTTTTTACAGTATGACTCTGCATGACTAAAAATGCCTTTCCTTTGCCTTGACACATTGACAGTAGCTTGTCTGGTTTGGAAATTTAGTGTTTAATTTTTTTTCCCTCAGAATCCTGGGAACATAGTTTTCTAACATTAAGAATGGGTCATAAAGGGCCTAAGGCTAGTCTGATTCTCTTTTCTTCGTAGGTAATGTTATTTCTAACTATGAAAGACACAATTTTCTATTTTTCCAGGGCATTCACAAATTTCACTAAGATTATTTCCAGACATGGATCTGTCCTTAATATTTGTTTTCTGGCCCTCACCAAGTGATTTTAAACTGAATATCAAAGATTTTGGGTGTGTATACTTTCAAGATTTCAGCTTGGGGATGTATTCTTTGATCTTCTATTAGTGTGTCTCTTCCACTCCATTCTCACTGGATCCCAGATGAGAAGAGCCTGTTTTCGGTGATTATTCTTGCGTCACTTTATTCTTTCAAAATTTCTTTTTTTTGAAATTTTCTTTGAAATTTCTTTGAATTTTTGCTACATTTTTGGACACATTTCTTGAGCTTGGTGTCTAATTTATTAATTTGGCTATCAACTATGTCGATTCATGTGTTAGCAAATTTTTTTTTTTTTTTTTTTTGCACCTAAGAAATCTTGCTCTCAAATTTCTCCCATTTCTTGGAATCCTGGTCTTATTTAGCAATGTAACTGCCTTTGAATCTCAGTGATTCTATTTTTCCCCCTTTTCTGTTAGAGCTCCTATGTTCAATTTGCTCCTTGACTTTTGGGGACCTGATTTAGGCCAATTCATACTTACAGATAGGCTCAGTATTGGTAGTTGATAAATACAAACAATGCATGTCTCCTGGGCTTCGAGGTTGGCTTCCCTTATGCGTATGGGAGCCAAGAAAAGAGGAGACAGAACTCCCTTCCCTACTCCAGCGATTTGAGTGATTTGTGGGGTTGTGAGGTGTTTGAGCAGTCACATTTTCAGCAAAGTGTTTTGCCAAAGGATGTCTAGGGGATATGGTAGAGGTTAGGTTGCTAGATTCAGCAACAAACAAACAAACCAGGATACCCAGTTAAATCTGAATTTCAGAAAATCAACAAATAATTTTTTTTACTATAAGTAGGCTCCAAATCTTGCATGAAACTTGCACTAAAAATTATTTGTTGTTTATTTGAAATTCATATTTAACTGGGCATCCTATATTTCATCTGGCAACCATAGCTAGGGGGTGAATACTGTACTGAGAGGCTTCGTGGGCAGGGATTCTGGTGGAGGTCCTCAAGTCCTTTGGCTTGTTCCCTTCTTGCCTTTTCTTAGGTCACCTTCTCTTCCAAACCTACTTGTGAAACCTTAGGAAGTTGGCTGTGTGACAGTTTTAAGAAGTAAGAATGTAGGTACTGGAGCTGGCAAGTGGAGGTAAATTGATGTACTATTCTGTTTGTTGTTTCTCTGTATTTGATGCGGGGGCCTCAGGTACTACCTGTGGTACTGCTTCCCTTTTCTACTGGCCTGACTAGGCTCTTTGGAATTTCACTTTAGCAAATTCTCCACTTTCTATAGCATGTTGTTTACCCCAAGTGAAGGCTGGAGATATACAGTTGGCTGACTCCTTTTGCAGGATATTAGTGTGGTTCCCAAAGTCTTGCAACCACAGTTAGCATCAAAGCCCTGTGTAGTGGATTGAATTATGTCCCCCCAAAATTCACTGGAACTTGAATTGTGTTCCCCAATTTTTATGTATTAGAAACTTGACCCCCACTGTGACTGTTAAGAGGGAAGGAAATCCTATTATGGTAATTGAAAGGTGGGGCCTTGAAGAAGTGATTGGGTTGTAGGACCGTGCAGTAGTGAATGGATTTAAAAATGGTGGTAATGGGTGTGGTTTGGAGGACTTTAAAAGAAGAGGGGTGTTGTCTTTCTTGCTCTCTCTGCTCTCTCTGCTTCCACCATCTTGCAATATGAGACCCCTGGGTCACTGTTGCCACCACCAGATGGATTTTGGACTTCCCAGCCTCAGAAACTGTAAGCAATGAACTTCATTTGCTTCATAAATCACCCAATTATGTGTATTTTGTTGTAAGCAATTGAAATGGACTAATCCACCCTCACTGATTATTCAAAAACTCGTCTTGGCTGCTTGAAATTTGGGGCTTGGGGAACCTGTCCATTGACTTCCCAGGCAGGCCTTTTCTTTGCTTGTTCATAAAAAGAACATAAAAGGAATACTTTATGATGATGTGGTCAATTGAACTTGGCAGTTCTGACTTCAAACTTCCTATAATTTTTTTCTTTTCTGTGGTCTGTGGTCTACGAAATCAGAAAAGAAACAAAGATCTAACAGGTTCATTAGAGATTAAATGAAGGAAATCAAGCAAGACAATCAATAAACAATGGGAATTGGCAGTTTGCATACCTCTGCAGGAGCTCTCTGAACCAGACCACAAACCACTGGGTAGACACAAGAAGATGCTGCTTCCCACGAGGTCAAATCCAGGGTGACATCGGACCCCACAGGCTGCATTGAAGTGGTTGTGGCAAGTGTTTTGGATAAAGTAACCATTTTCAGGAGGCTTCAGGGCAGGGCAGTGGACAACTAACATTTACAGAAATAAAATCAAAAAGCAAAGTTAGCCTTTGTCTGTGAATCTTTCTTTCTTTGCTTAAGCAGACATTTTATACAAACATCTCAATTCCTCACAGCATCTCCATTTACTGCGTTTGAATTTTTAGGTGTGTATTTGGAAGACTCCTATTAGTAGGTATTTACTTCCAATTAAATTTTAAATACAGACTAAGTATTTTTTTTTTTTTTTGTCTTTTGTCTTTTTTCCGTGTCCGGCAACGGATCGCAACCCTCAGTGTTGCCCCCGTACCGGACCGGGGACCGGCAACGGGATCGCAAGCCTCGGTGTTGCTCCCGCGCCTCGCTCAGCCAGTAAGCGGGAGCTGGTCTGTACGTGGGATCTGAACCCTCGGACGGGAGCGCCGCCGCGCTTCCCAAGCGGCGCACTATCCAGTGCGCCACCGGGACGGCCCAGACTAAGTATTTTTTTTTTTTTTTTTTTTTTTTTTTTTTTTT